AGGTAAATTTTAAAGAACATCAACAATGCTTCTCAATATAATGCTTCTCTTCAGTATCAGTTGATCCAAAAATGTGTCAGTTTCTGTTGAGAGTCACTCAGTCTTAGTTAAATTTTCCTTTTTCAGTTCGTTTTTTACTTCAGACTTAATGCGTATTTAAAAACAAAAAGAAAAAGTACTGAATACCACCGCAGAATGCTCCACATCATGCACACTTGTTTTATTTTATCTTTCCTGCTATTTTTTTCATCCAATTTTATTTCTAATTTGTGTACCTTTCCACATTTACCATACAATTAAGGAGAGCCATGGGAGCAATTGTGGTGATGAAAGTGATGTGGAATTTTCTATAAGGAGCCTTTCCAAGAAAAATACTCTAACCCTTGAAACAGCATATCTTCATTATTGCATTTACGACCAAATGCGATGCAGCCTGTCGCAAGAAATATTCCAAAACACATTAAAGTCAAGAAGGCTCTGATAAGTGACTAATTGTGGATATGCAGGCGAGGTAGGGCACGTGGTAAACAAAAGGAGGATCTTATTGATTTCTCAGTGGGTTTTATGAGGCACACACAGGCCTCACACACACTGGCACAGTGTGATAAAGAGAACATTATTTTCTCTATGATTAGCTAAAGAAGATAAATGGTGTATAATCAGCCAATCAAAGGCGTCATTTAACTGGTTCCCTCAAGGAAGCCTGGCCTGGTGTTCATAGATGGAGTTCTCTGCTTTGGAAGAAATGCATCACATCTATCTATGGAAAAGCTTACTCAAGATTTCACACATGATAACTGCCCACTGATAGCTCACATGATGACTGGGAGTAGGTCTGAGCACAGCAGTTAAATGGAATCACTGGCGTGGTTGTGCACTGAGGAAGCCCCTGTGAGAAGAATGGGAATGTGTTTGTGCTAACATGTGCTGGAATGGAAAATGTAGGTATGCATTTGATGTGCTGATGCACAGACAAGTTACGCAAGCATATTGTGCAAGTAAACATTCTTTCAGCTGCATGCTGACAGATTGATGCAGTCTGCTGCCCTCTGTTGTCCACCTACAGCTCACTACACAGTTTTCTAAGCTTCAGAGCGCTCCAAAATTCACATGAAAGAAAATATAAAGAAATGTCATTCTAACATTTTGGAGAGACCGTAACGGCACATCAAATTTGGTTAACAAAGTGAAATATAGGATTTATAGGTTAAGTGGCAAACATAACCAAAAATAAATGTCACAAATGTACACATACAAAAATTAAAAACACTGTAGTTTAAACTAATAAATGGTCAGGACAAAAACAGACAGAGGAGGAAGCATTAGCAACGAGACAGCTTCAATCTGTGCTTTAATTAACATGTTAAGATGCACATTTTATTAAATAAAAATTACTATTAAACACTTATATAGATTATACACTCACTCGAAACACTGCATGGTCCGCAACAATATTCATATAGGTGGTATTAAACTGGGCCAAGTAAAGATCCTCCACACCACTGGAGCTCCACCTGGCTGAAGTGTTGGAGCCAGAGGTGTAGAGTGATGCTCTGCCACTTTTTGTTTGATTTATTTTTAAATAAATATTTTTTATATATTTATAGAAAATATAGAAGTTTATTTGCCTAATTTCAATAAAGAGGACTTTATATTGGAATCAATGTTCACTTTTATTGAAACCACCTGTAGAGCAGCACATCACTAAAAGATGAATAAAAGCACATCAGAGAGTGTTTCAGAAGCTGACCAGTGATAGGCCAGCTCACTGACTTTGATCTTTCAATGAGATGTAAAGAGGATGAAGCAGAGGAAGTGTGCTTTCTGGAAATACAGAAACCTCATCTTTTTATACAGTAATGTAACAGAATAATATTTAAAAGCTGCAGCCGAATGGAGAAGTCACGGAAAAGGCAGCAAACACATCTAAACATAAATCCAGTAGACACAGTTGAATACTGAACAAACAGCCTTTTTTGCTGTGTTGTGGCTCACTTTGAAGAAATTTAGCTCCTAACCCTTTGACGAGATCAAAGCTGGGACCAAATAGCTGAGTTACCTCCGTTAAGGATCGGTGAGTACCTACTGGCTAGTGTTACAAACCATGACTGGAAATAAGTTTGATCTCCAGCTCACTTCCTCGATTTAATGGGAACCTCCGTTAAATAGAAACTGCTGCAAACAGCTTTGTGTCTGATCCCACTGGAAGGACCTGATGTTCCAGCACCGTAACCAGTCAGGCCCATATACCATCGCTGGAAATGACCAAGCTGTTTTTGTGATGTCACAGCTCTGCAGCTCCTGGAAAAAGATAGCAAGTGGCCTCCAGAGATTTACCACAACCACAGGTCATAAAGGCTTTTTAATGCACAGTTAACACTGTGAAAGTCTGTTTTAATGGAAACTATAACGTTTATCTAATTGAAACCATAGTGTGATGAAAAACTACAATTACAAATGATATTTTCCTTTGGTTTCACACGTCACACAAACCACAGCCTCATGGGTGAAAGTACTTTGTTTGACTCATCCAGCACAAACGCAACTTCATGTGTGGAGATCTGGTTGTTCTCACGTTGCAGTAAGAAGGTGGGTCCTGGCCACATATTTTTAGCTGTCTTGATAACCCTTTGAAGTTGAGACAGATAATCAGAAGTCACACCCCCACATGTGTGGGACGACGCCTCAATAGCCGGATGTGTTCGGGCTTCAGCAGAGAGGAAAGAGGCCACCCATGGCACACCAGTATCACTGCTCTACTGGCTGAGCAGTTTCCTAAACAAGCTTTCTATCATCTAGTCGCACAAACCACAGGGATGCACTGATGCTTCACTGTGCTCGTAGGCCTATTAAAGGCTTTCATTTGGGAGGGTATATTCAGGGAGGTTTAATCTAAATTCTGCTTCTACATTATTTTTGTTTGTGTATTCATTTTGAAATTTGTAAAAGAATAACAGACAACCAGGCATTAACCACAGAGACTTACAGCTGAGAGAGCACAGCAGAGGACGTGCTGACCAACAGAATAGCAGGAGAAGTAATACAGTTACCAATAAAATGCACTAAATGTGCTATAATATTGACGAGACCGTAATATTTTATAAAGCTTTCAGCCTGTACTGTGTTGAGGCTACAGAGAAACGTCTGTGTGGGCTGCTGGGTGCTCCAGTCTTCATTACTGCAACAAAGACGGCATATATGTCAAAGGAAGCAGGTAAGAAGAGTTGGTTTGTTGTGTATTGATATACACTATTCGAAGTGACTCTTTATTTCTGTGAATCTTTGCTATGAAACGTGTTAACTTGAGCTCAGAAACATAATAGACACATTGAGAGTATTTCAAGTACCAAGAAAATCTAAACGCTCCTTTTGTTGTTTTAGAGTAAGTCAGACTAAAAAGACCTCATAGAAAACAAAGTCACTTTGAGTTGGATTCAGAGGAAATGTTGGGCCTCATTTTGTTTTCACAGCCTATGAATTCTTACTGGATAGTACCGACAAAATTCAACACAAGCAAACAAACACTCAGAGATCAGAGATCAGGTTTTTATGTTTGAGTAGAATTTGCAGTACCTTCTGCAAATACAACACATGTATATACTGTGTTTAGTTTTTATTGTTATTTATTGAATTATGTTAAAAAAAAAGATCGGCATCATCCTTTAGAATAATTTATTCTAGGATTCGGTAAAAAGCTCTTCTGACATTTTATGTTGGGTGATTTCACACCCAGTAACTGCAGTCTTAAAATATCAGTGTTATTATTCAGTAAAACCTCCTATCAGCCAAACTGTGGTGTTTGATTTTTACAGTGACCCCACCCTCTAGTTTCCAGTTGAACTGTCATCTATTGGAATGTATTAATAGGCTGGAGCGCACACTTTCCGGGTGGGAATACCACAGGGTGGAACACAGACGACGATGTTCCTTGTGGAGCAGCGGAAGAGGTGATAAAAACATTTCAGATAAGAAGTGCCTAATGTGTGCAGCACAGCTGTTTTTCTTCATAATATCTAAATTACTTTATAAGTGTATTAATAGTGGGACCTTCTGACACCAGTAGATGGGGATGTGGGTTCACTGTTGACTGAGGAACCAGCGGTCCAACGTGTGACGTGTTACTGACGTGGACAAACGCACTCTGACACTGTGACCTTTTATTGACAACGGTTTGATCGTCAGTCAGTTTACAGATACAAACGTACATGCTGTGTGAGGCCAGCCTGCAGTTAACGCAGCAGGCTGAGTCAGTCCTGCACACCACACAGGAAATTGTCTAGTGTGTAAAAGAGAATGTGGCTTTTACCCTGAGATAATTACACAGTCAAATAAAAAAGATGCATCTGGTTACAAACTAAAGAGTATAACATGAAACAATAAAATGTAACCTCCCCTATAAAAATACTGTCAGTGCTAGAATGACATCATCACTACTTTTTTGTGTGTTTTGAACTCATTTGATCAGATCACATATTCATAAATAATATACACCAAACGCTTGACCAAATCAAAAATTAGGTCCAAAACCGGCAAAATAATAATGAAAAAAAACAAAACCCTGATTACATTAATTTACGCAGTTTTGCTTTTAGTATATTTTATGAGATGGGAGAAAAACGTTTTTCTTTCTTCTTTTAAAAATTGGAGAAACGCTCCATTTCCACTTTGTGTTGCCCAGCTCTGTGGATATGTCACTAACATTTATCATTTACATGTGAAATATGCCAAATCACAAAAAATACTAAGTGAAATAAGCATCCATCCATTCGCTTCTGCTTATCCTTTTCAGGGTCGCGGGGGGCACTGGAGCCTATCCCAGCTGTCATAGGGCGAAAGGCGGGGTACACCCTGGACAGGTCGCCAGTCTGTCGCAGGGCTAACACACAGGGACAGACAACCATTCACACCTAGTGACAATTTGGATTATTCAATTAACCTATCCCCACAAGCTGCATGTCTTTGGACGGTGGGAGGAAGCCGGAGTACCCGGAGAGAACCCACTCAAACTCGACACAGAAAGACCCCGGCCTGATGGTGGAAGTGAACTCAGGACCTTCTTGCTGTGCGGCAACAGTGCTAACCACCGTGCCACCGTGCTGCCAATAATAAGCATACGATACCAAAATAAATATCCTTTATTTGATTTTTTTTTTATCTAAAACTATTGAAAGATTATTTTTTAAACTACACAAATAAAGATTGAAATTGAACGATTTATACTGCTTCCTAGACTTCTGAGACCATTTGTTCTCATATATTCATTTTGTCAGTTTTGGACCTTATCTATGGAAAAGTGGCCGCTATGCATCGTGTGATGTCACCACAGCCACATCACCATCCTGGTGCTTGAGTGTGCCGTATTCTCCTGAATGACAGCTTTTCAGGCCGTTGTAGCATCTCCCTCTCTGTAATGTGAAAATCTCTCAGCTCCTGTGCTGACATATCAGTGAAGTGAGAGGAAAAAACAACACAATCTTACAGTTGTATTTTAAAGCCAGCCAAAGGTGCGAAACATCACCAAAAGGGTAATGAGGGAATAAACCAATAACCGAGACCAGCCAACGTCTATACACACAGTTGAACAGACACTAATAGTGCGAGTGTATAAAAGCTAAATTATGTTTGCTAGAGTGAAGCTGAAAAATACATACGTAGAAATACAAGGTTTTTCAGGAAACATTACTTTCAAGGAAACATAGCAGAGAGCCTGCCATGATAGGAATAATTCAATCTTTGGCAATATTCTACAAGATTCCTAAATCATGCTTTAACCTTTAGAGGCATTACAAAAATCTAAACGCCAAAAATGTTTAGCACCATATGAAATGTCTAGTCTCTGTCTGTCTCTTTGGTATTACATAGTGCTGGGTGTTATGAAGACATGAATCTTGGCCAAGAATGAAGTGAACGTCCCTTGCCTCAGCAGCTTCATTTCCACGTCTATCAGGAAGTCTTTGGGCTCGCGGACCTTTCTCTGCAGGTAGACGGCACCTGTGAAGCTGTTCAGCTTGCGTGTGCTGAAGTATCCGTCTTCATTCCCCTTTCTGATGCTAATGACAATATGATCTCCAGAGTAGGCCGGGTTAGGGCCAATTCGGAAGATCTGAGCTGGAATGATGATGTTGGTCTCATACGTGAGCTGGTAGTAAGTGATCCACAAGGGAGAGTTCTTACAGTCTAAGGAACTGGCGGGACAGTTGATCCGCTCACAGCGTCTGAAAATGAGCCAGGGAAGATGGTGAGAAGACGTAAGCAAAACATTGTTTGGACACTGTGCTGCTCACTGAACACTCAACACACAAAATGTCTTGACATTACTTTTTTGACTTGGCATCAAATAAATAGAAGTGATCCTATAGAACCAATTCTAGATAACGCATCATCTGTGCAAGGGTGGAAAAGGGATATAAGACGGGTAGGGAAGAGATGCCGTTTCTACTGATGGTTTCTTGTTAATCATCACAGACCATGTCAGTAAGCTACAGCAGCCTCTGGGCTTTCAAGACTGTGGGGGCCCATAGAGGTGAAAATCAATGTAAGAAATAACCAGCAAATATGAAAATACTATAAAAGCACATAAAACACAGCAAAATTTGAATAAAACAATGGAAGTAGAAAAAAAAGAAATGTCACAGAAGACAACTGCCATGTTTTTGGGGACGTGACGGACCACCTGGGAAAGTGACACAAGCCATATGAGGGATCCCACTGTGCTTTAACTACATGATTCATATATTACTGTAGATATATGTTTGCTATGAGCTGTTTGCTGTCAGCTTGCCACATCTGCAGCTGTTCCATCACCTCAAAAACACTTCTGTTGTGTGGGGTGTTTTGTGAAAGCTTTTGCAGCACTTTCGTCTTCTTTCCTTGTCTATTTTTCAACATCCATTGTGTTTATGCAGCATTTTTCTTCTTCTGCATTTGTTGCAGTGCCTTTCCCCTCTCTACACTCCCTGAACATTTTGAACCAAGCTGCAGAGTGATGCAAAATCATTTGCTTCTTAAAGCACATGTGATTTTTCCATTGCTACTGGAGTGCTATTGAAAAGAGGTAGCATGTAGCAGCACTGCTCTTTCACATCACTGCCCCCTGCTGCAAGGATTCCATAATAACATAGATGAAGACTGTGGATGCCAGTGGAAATCAGAAGCCTTTGTGGGTCTTTCCCACAGTGCAATCTGAAGCTCTGTGACTGTTTATCCATCACACATCAGAATTTACAGCCTGGAGTTATCGTTGTAGTGCACCGTAATATTTGCACAACTCACATCAAGACAAGAGTGCCTAGGAACCTAATACGGGAAGACCAAGACACATTTTAATCTCAGCTGTCTGTCCGTGACTGCCAAGTCTGCTCATGAATGAAAGATGTCTCTCCATGGGGAGCCAAGAGATGTCACACTGAGGGTAATAAGGTGTCTCTAGGTAACACTGATAAGACGTCTCTTGTGGGCTG